AGCGAGCTAAATTCTCTGTCGCAGGCATTGATTTCAGCAGATAACTTATGAAACATACGGCAAATCAAACTGTCATTGCAGATTGTCAAAAAAACCTTTTATGAAAATTCTTCCACGAACTATGTCAGTTGTAATTGAAAATTCTAAAAGTACGTTCATTGTCTCTAGACATATCGTAGGACACAAAGGTCCCGTAACTTTATCGGCGAACTATCATTCCGCGTTTTTGTAAATTTCTGAAAGCAGCCAGGGGTGCAAGACTACCTGGTCTCGCAAAAATCCAGCAAACAGCATGACAGTGGTGTGACCTCCAGGGCACAGCGGGATGAAAATGCCCCGTTACCTGATAAGTGAACATTCCTCCACCATAAGTAATATTCTCGATCGTAATTGACTTGACAGAGGGGCCGGGGCCAGTGTAAGCGTTCCCCAAAATGGGTCACGCGTTGGATGCGCTGGATCAACACGGGGGGCATATCGGATATTGGCCGGCGTTATCAGATTTGCACATCATAACAAATGCCAACATTTCGGGGCGCCTTGGCAGGTCCCGTTATCCGCAGTTTTCGCACACACTGGGACCCTGCTATCCCCTGCATTGATGCTGTGAATCTAAACTAATTTCTGCGAAGTCTTCCCGTCCCATGCGTCGTGGCTTTTGACTTATCTCTTTTCTTACATCGGCATAACACGGAAGGCGAGACAACTTCAAGACCGGAGGTGATCGCGGCCGCAGTGGCGAACAAGGTTTAGAAGCCTGTTTGCGCTCGCTACACGCAACCCCGTCCCCACAGCATGTGTCAGTTGTTCGTAATGGCTACTGGGATCTCGCATTGTGGGGACTGTCAATAAAGCCTTGAGTCTGACTGACTGAGCCATCCGACCACCTAGCGGCCTTCCAAACCACGCCGTTCAGCGCATCATGATAGATTTCAACGCGTCAGCCTGATTATAGTGAGAAAGGTGCTGATCTTTTACTATACAATCTGACATGTCCAACATGCGGTTGTCACCTCTTGCGAGACTTTCGGCCTCATCGAATTTGAATGTGTGGCCGGAACCCGTCGAATGAGCCGCAACTTGAGAGCTGGCGTCATTTCTGCGCACCGCTACCGCGTGTTCGGCCATTCGCGTTCAGAGCTGTCTTCCGGTTTCTCCGACGTAGTTGCTTTGTCCGCAACTGCACCGGATCCGATACACGACTCCAGACGTTTCTAGCCGTGGCAGTGGGTCTTTTGGTTTCATGACAAGGTGCTGATTTTACTATACAATCTGACATGTCCAACATGAATGCATGAGATTCGTTAAATGCTGGCTGACGACAGCTAATGAGCCAGGAATGACATACAGCCACACTTGATGCGCGCGACACTATGTTCTTATTTGAAATCTGTGCAATTCGACATTCCCAGTGGGGAATATTGTCGTTGTGAGAAACTGGCCCAATGAGTGGGTCCACCAGCCCTATCCATGTCTTTTTCTCGTATGCACAATCGCTCACCATGTCGACCTGTTTATCTTCCTGAAAAATCACAATGTGAACTCGAAGCCCAAAAGTTTGCAGATTCCATCTGTAACTGCACGGCTGACTACAGTAGTGTGCTGATAAGTTCAGTTTATCTGAGGGAAATGCAGTAACGTACGCACATTGGAACTCCAAATTTGTTACACGCTGCCAAAGAATTTCGAAAATTTGGAAAAGCGGTAACATTCAATAACCACAAGGGAGATAATCCAGAGTTGGTGATCGTATGCTATACCATGACCCTCCCAGCCTGGTGTAGCATATCCAGCTGTAAATGTAAACAGGGCCGTACGGCTGATTACCGTACTGTGCTGATCAGTTGATCTCAGTGGTTACATAAACTAACTACAAGGGAAATATCAAAAACTGTACGCAGGGAGAGGCACTATTTCGTGCGCTAGCAGAATTGGAAGACACATGTACACTCGTAGGTACGTAACACAGTAGTTCCTTGAAGTGCTGGAAAAGTGATGCTGTCTGTGGTCTGCAAGTGTCGTGGTAAATCCCAGTAGGTATGTGCACCGAAGTTCGATTTTACAAACGCACGACTATCAATGAAGCCACATTTGGAAGGAGGCCCTGGACGTCATTCACGACTTGTAGTGCATTTTTGCAGCCTCAAAGCGCGACAAGTATGTAGGGTTGAGGCGTGTGCTTAAGTGCAATGGAGGCGGCGTACCTAGGTTCAATCTCGCTCCCCCCCCCATTCGCTCTGGCTTGCACCAGTACACTGTCCGAGCCAGTCTGCCTTTCGATGCTGGGATTGGGCGAAAGTGGTTGACGCAGTGGGTGCCTGCATATAGGCGTGCCAAAACATACCCCCCATACGGGAAAGTCGTTGTCGGCTGCGCTGTTTCTGCGTTGCCGAAGTAATGTCAAACATATTTATCTCGTGGTCTGTTGCAGAGGCCGCAAATATAACAGCCGTGCACAGAACTGAGCATCATATGTCAGGCGTAGGTGTGCGCGGGGCGTCATCAGATGGGGAGGCAGATATCCTAAATTTTCGTAGAAATTTGTCCAAACTACGAATTAATCATATGTTAGCAGATTATGAACTGCACCGCAGATAACCGAGTCGAATTAGTTACATCCCTAGTAATATTACACGAGGAAAATGTGTTCGTACTTGTGGAGGGATTACCTGAGCCTGCATACAGACTGAAATGCATATATACCGACAGGAAACGCCAAATTTTGTGCTGCAGGAACTTATTAGTTAGGAATGGTATGCTTCACCAATTTTGGACAAACTCATCGTGGCAGGTTTAATCAATCTCAAACTTCCAAGGCTCCACTAAAAAGGCCTATCGTTCGTTGAGCAAATATGAAATACGGCTTTTTATACGCTACGCGGTACACTGCCGGCAGATCCGAGATCATTCGAAATGCGGCCGAATTAATAGGCGCAGAATCTCTGATACCTTATCGGTCAGTCAGCTACGTCAGCTAGCACTATCTCAGATTTCACTATGGGGAGAGTAGCATGAAAGTGGTCTGTATTTATTTAATGCAGAAGGCAGACTGAGTGACCGAGTTAGTCGGAGCGTGAACCTTGGCGATCTTCTGGACGTGCGTGCAGGCGGGTCAGCAGGCTTGACCTGATAACAACAGCAATAGGAGCAACAACTTTCAACGTGGTTTCACGCGTACGAGGGCTGACGTCATTTGACACAAGCACATGGGATGCAGATATCAGTAACATCAGATTAGTTTGGGCAGAAATTTCAAAAAATCGATATCCCAGACGACATTCCTTGTATATATTATAACACACTAGTAACGGCAGTGTCAATAGAGAACATTGTCAAAGTTGTTGATTTTGGTGAAACAAACAGGGGAACATACAAAGGAACCATCGAAACTCTACCGATTTGATATGCTTCAATCCTCCGCCCAATTAATTCTTTGATTTTCACATTTAAATGACATGCACCCCACCTCTTCGCCACCTCACGGCCTCTGCTGCTTCATTGCCTTTCCTGGCGACATGCATCAGAATATTACATTCGATATAAATTCATCCCGTACTCAGTGGCCATTGGAACACAGTGACAGTGCAATCGCAGACTCCGACGATGTCTACAACAGCGGGGGCGCAGAAAATTCGATCAGGCACATTTTTATGTGCACTAGACCGTCTGTCGACTCCGCTTCACGCAGTTACTGGCTCATCGAGATAGACACAACAACTATGCGATTTACATCGACGCTGAGCGATATACTTACGATCCTTGCCCTAACAGATGTAAGTCATCACATCTGAAACTAGGCCTCGACTGTCACTGGGTAGCCACTCACAGCCTCACAATAGCCGACTGCATCAGGTCAGTAGACTGGCTGGTCCAGAAATCACATATATGTATATGAATAGCCGGTTTCAGCAGTCCATTAGAAAATGTTGCCTACCCTCTTCTCTGCACTATGTTTCTATGCATGTTTGGCATTGGGCTGCACTGGAAGTAAACGTAAGTCCTGAAGTACGTGA